ATATAGAACATTTTCATCCTATTATTTTTTTAATCATTTCACCTCAATTAAAAGGGTTACAGAGAGTGAAAGTGAGAGAAATTACTGGGTATAGAGGTGATTGAGGAATGGATAAAAGTCAAAATAAATGCAAAAGCAATACAAAGATCACAAGAGATGCCACTTTCAAATAAAGATTAAAGACCAGTGATTAAGAACATTCAATAGTAGATTGATGTCAAGGTCTCATCATTTTGCAATTAAAATGGCTAGATGTAACCCTAGTTCTATGCTAATAGTTTCTGCTCTCATACTTCTCACTTATGAAACTCTCTTCCAGCTTTTTCTTTTCCACTCAATTGTTATCTTCTGTTCTCCTAATTCTTGTTCTTTTATTGTTCTCTCTTCTTAATGTTTTTCTTTTTCTCATATTCTCACACACAGTAACCCCTTGTGCCTTAGTGGCTTTATTACCTTGCTTAGGATGAAATGATTAAGAAAAAAAAATTAATTTTATGAAAGTAGAAAAAATTACAAAATACCTAATTTAAAAGTTATATAAAATCAAGTTAATTTCCAATCCAAAATATAATTTCAGAAACATAAGTATTTATTCAAGACATATTATTAAATCAAATCATTACATGGTAGATTGTCAGGTTACAGACTGGGTTCTTTATGGCATTTCTAGGGTCAATGTAAGGGACTTGGTGATACCTATCACCTCTTCAAATAATATAAAACAAGTTGAACAGAGTTACATCTGTACCAACAACAGAGAGTGAGCACTGACCTGATACACAAGGAGAGAGAGATTCATGCCTTTCCTAAGGGCATTGAGTGTAAATTGACAACACACTAACTCAGGTGGAATTTGAACTTTCATTTTCTGTGCTGTTAACTGTTATGCAAATTCTACATCTCCTCTCATAATATGTAAGGTAAACTTTTGATTACAACAGTTTATTGATAACATTTGTCTGGAAATGGACAGACTGGATGCATTTAAACTCGGGATACCAATATTCTTCACTCCAATATTAATATGTACAAGTTTATGTAATCTGTGATATCCTAAGGAGGATTTATTCAACAAACTTTCATTAACACTAATTATACTAATAGCAATACAGGAAATTCTCTCAGTAGAAAAAAATAATTATGTTTGTATTTTAATGCTGACTGCATTTCAGTCTGGTACACAAAGGTATTGGCTTTTCTTGTGCTGTCCTTTGATTTTATCATTACTTGTAGTAAAAAAATATATGAATAATTAAACACCAAATTTTGTAAAGTTTTACTCAAAAAGTTATTTTGACCCATAAAGTAATCATTGAAAATCAAGAAGGAAGATATTGTCAGTGGTTAGGAATTAATGCAAGGGTTACTGACAGAAGAGATCTGCTATAAGATACACTGAAAAATCAGGAACAAAGAGATTGTTAGGAATTAGTAGGTGTTACCAACAGGAGAGGGCTATGATATGTATTGAATAAATTCATTGCTTATGGTATTACTCAAAAAATTAATTGCTCATTATTTTACAACTGAAATGCATTGAAAATCAGAAAGAATAAAATGGTCAATAATTAAGAATTAATGCAAGCAATTCTGATAGAACAGTGCTATTATGAATTAAGTGCATTGCTAATACTGTGATAGAAATCTCGTGAAAATCTAGAATAAAATTGTTGACAGTAGTCAGGAATTAATGCTTTCGATTGATTGATTTGTTTTTTACATCTTAGCAACCCTTTTGTCGGTTATTTAAAGCTGAAATATATTTTGGGATTGTAAAAATAATTCTTTTTTTTTTAAATTTTTTTTTATTACCATATAATATTCACTCTTTTTTTTAACATTAACATATTTTTTGAGAATTACAATGATTTTTCCGGATACATGTTCTACTATTTAAACCATATCTGGTGGTAGAGAATGGATGCATATCTTCCCAAGGGTATTTGCATATAAGTGAATGTAAAGCAATTAATGCAAGCATTACTGATGGAATATGAATGTGATTATATAGATATAATGTAAATTGTACATTAATGTTTTTACAAATTAAATACATTGAAAATCAGAAATAAACTGTTAATTGCCAGAAATGAATGCAAGCATTTCTGATAAAAGAGAGTTATTTTCTGTATGATTATGTCTTTATTATTGAGAAAACAAACAAATGAAAAATATTTAATGCTGCCAAAAACTTTAAAGAAGATTTATCTATCATATGATACAACCTAGACACATTTGCAATAATTTTTAGTGAACTGACATGTTGGTATCTCTGACTCTAGTTTTCTTAGTGTTTCTGCAGTGGTTGGTTGGTTACCTGTGCTGTTTGCGCTGTTGCTGCCATTCAAAGAGCCAGTACCATTATGGACTAGACTGCGGGTGATGGTGGTTGCAGAGTGATTGTTCTTTGTGGTGAAAGAAGATACTGGGGCAAAAGAAATCACTCTGCCATCAAACACTTCCTCAGTTAGGGTACTGCCTCCTCTCTTTCCACAGTTGACTAGAAGAAAAAAAAGAATTCAACCTCATTTAAGCTAACTTTCACATGCAATGAAACAATATCCGTCTTAAAGTGTACCCTAGATATTTAGATGGGAACATGAGGTAAGCAGAGTGCACATACCTTCTGCTTGCCTCATTACTTTTATGATAAGAAATTCTGTTACTTTGCTATTAATCCATTGTAACTGACAAATACCTCAAGCTGCAAACTTAGGTAGCCTTTTCATCCTTACTATGCTTCTCATTGTCTTTATGTTCTGATATAAATAAACCAAGTTTTCTTTTTTTTTAGATTAATTTCTGTAGGTTTCACTGAAATAGAAATTTTCATTGTATAAAATTAATTTTTTTAAGCATTTTCCATAAAGCAAGGTAATAACGCCACTGAGATGGAAAGGGTTACTTGGAATGAAAGGACAATCAAAGAACAACAATCAAGAAGACATAAGAAATAAAAATAATGTGCAATTTCTATAATTACAGATTAGTTTTAACCTCTTTTATCTACTTGGTAAATAAGTAGCAATGAAAATTGTCCAGGTCAAGTGGTAAAACTTCATAAAAATTTAAAAAAAAAATGTGTTAAATTATAAGAATATATTATATCGAATTGCTTCAAAGGCAGGTAATCATTTCTTGTCGCAGAAGTAACCAAAATATAAACATTGCAGCTCTCCTGTAAAGTTGTTGAAGTTGAAAAATAACTGATTTGTTCATTTCACAGTTTTGAAATTTCAAGTACTTCTGACAATTTCAGAGTAGAGAAACATTTCTTTGTTAAGGAATCTACCAACTGCAGTTTATAATCCATCCAATGCACTTTAACTTCCTTTTCTGATACCCTCTCTTGTGATCTTGTTATACCTATTCATAATCTTTTGTCACTAACAATGCCTGAGGTTTTTAAAACATTTATTAGTGTTGCATTGTCTGTATAGCATTGAAGTGGTTGTAATATATCTAGTCCCAAAATCACTTGGCAATAAAAAATCCAGTGTCTGCTGCCTCACTCAATGCTAGATTCTCTGATACCAATGAATTTTTGGTTACCCTGTCCAACCTTTGAGATTGGTGCCACTGTCTAGTTATCACCTTGCAATTATCGTTGGCATATACAAGACTTGATTGTGACTCCTTCTGAGATTTGTAGATTTTTAGTCCATAAATGCACTTTTTAAGGTGCCAACAGATTTTACACATATCACGAGGAGGACATAGGAATATTTCACTTTCTAAAGAACTTCAATCCAGAAAAGTTGCTGTCATATCAATGACTTGTAGCTTCCAGCCCATTGTGTTTGTGGTTAAAATACTAAATGTGGGCACTCACTACTACAAGTTGAAAACTCTTTCTTGAGATTATTAGTTGCTTCCCCAAATCCACAGGCTGTCAATTTTGCTTTGATTTTCCTTTTACCATCTTTATATTTTTCAGAGTTAACCCAAAGAGATGATACTGTTACTTGATTTTTAAAAGGAACTATTTCAAACACATCATTATGAATCAAGCACTGCAGTTATTTTTCCTTAGCATCTACCACATCTTGCAACATTTCTTCATCAGCTGTTAACAGTACAGCATTTTTTAGATAGGGCAGTTCATTTCATAACACAATCCGAATTAACACATAACCACATCAAAAGAGAACAACCAGCAATACACAGAAGTACCAACAGACCTGAAATTCTAAAAACTGAAATAGAAGCTGCACTGGCCAAATTGAATAGAAACAAGGAAGCAGGGCCAGACAGGATTGTAACGAAAATACTGACAGCCGTAAATGACTTAGGCATAGACAAGATCACAGAAATAATAAATGAAATCTACAACAGAGGGGATATACCGGAAGATCTCAGCAGATCTATCTTCATAGCAATGCCTAAGAAACTAGGCGCATGTGAACGAATGTGAACTCCACTGAACAATCAGCCTAATGAGCCATGTAACTCATCATCTGTATTCTGATGAATATAGCATGCAGTAGAATCAGGCCAGAGATAAAGCAAGAACAGTGCAGGTTTGTTAAAGACACTGGGACAAGGAACACAATATTCATGCTCAGAATGTTATCAGAAAGAGCAATACAAATGCAGAAGGACGTGCACCTATGTTTCATAGACTATGCAAAGGCTTTCAACAAAGTACACCACAAGGATCTGTTAGAACTGCTCAGCAACCTTGATATATTCAGGAAAGATATTAGAATAGTCAAGAACCTACACTGGCAGCAAACAGCATGCATGTGTATACAGAACAAGTTCAGCAAATATACAAATATAGAAAGGGGTGTAAGGCAAGGATGTGTCTTACCAGATTTATTCAATCTATACAGCAAGGCAATTCTGAGAGACTTGGAAATCCTACCAGGATTCAGTATTGGTGACCACAATCTTAACAACATAAGATATGCAGAGGACACAGTACTGATAGAAAACACAGAAAAGAAATTACAAAACCTCCTACAGAAGGTAATGAAGGAGAGTGAGAAGAAGAGACTAAGCATAAACTACAAGAAGACAGAATGCATGATCATCTGTAAATGGATGAGCCCAAAATGCGATTTGCAGGTTGGGGATACTAAAATCAAGCAGGTGCAGAAGTTTAAATATCTGGGAAGTGTTTTGACAGAGGACGGCAAGTGCAACACTGAGATCCATAGACGTACTGGGATAGCCAAGGATGAATTCCAAAAGCTGGGCAGAATATTGTGAGACAGGAGGATCTCTTTAACAAAGAGAAGATAACAAAGGAAAGAGTACTGAGCTGTTATGTGACATCTGTCCTCCTTTACGGCAGCAAATGTTGGACAGTCTCCTCAAAGATGAAGAAGAAACTTGAGACAACGGAGATGTGGTTCTACAGAAGGATGCAGAAGATATCATAGACTGAGTGTGTGAGCAACGATGAGGTCTTGAAGAGAATGCAAACAAGGAGGAGGCTTATACTTAACATCAGGAAGAGGCAAATGAAGTTTCTGGGACATGTAATGAGAAAGGAGGGCCTGGAGAAGCTGATACTCACAGGTTGAATATAGAGAAAGAGAGACAAGGGAAAGCAATGCATGATATACTTGGTGGGCTTAAGCAAGTGGATTACAGTACATGGTCTGGGAGAAGTGGCAGAGGGACAAAACTTATTGAGAGCTACAAGAGATAGGGAAAGTGGAGAGCCATGATTGCCTATGTCCTGAAAGGACATGGCACATAAAAAGAAATAAGGTTCTCAACATGAACATTCACAGCATTATTATAATTTTTCCAGTTTGTTTTGGCTGCATACTTATTACATTAGCTTCCTTTTGTACATTGCCTTTATCTTGTATCTGATAAAGGAATGTCTTTTGGTTTACTCATATTCTGAGCAGAATTTTCAGGTCGAGCACCAGTGGTCACTTCATTGAAGGAATCAGTTTCATTTTATATGGAATTTACAGGACTATCATCTTTGTAGTTGCCAGTTATACTTGGTTCCTGACCCATGACATTTGTATTTTCTGTTTTATTTGTCTATTTTTACCTTGCCAAGTACTACTATCTCACACCTTCATCAACTGACATGGATGAACAGGATAGTAAGCACCCACATGGTCTACTAGCACAAGTTGTCCATCAAAGTACAACTGCTGGACCTTTCTATCCTTTAAAATTTCTTCTGCAATAATAAACTTTATCACATCTGCATAAGTGTATACGTTATACCCAAGGACTCTCCTGATCATCTCACTTGACTCTGCAGCAATATAATTTTATCTGGCACTGTGTAGAGCATTCATATTTTGATGCCTAATATCAGATGAAACTTCCATAGAAGCTGGTTCATTATCTATAACTGATGGAAAATTAAGGATAAATCCAAATGCCAATTGGTTTGGACTAAATCTAACACTTTTGCAATGAGTTTTAGCATTTAATGCCCAAGCAAATACAACTTTGAGTTCATAATTGGCATCTAATAAAGTTTTATAGACTGCTTCTGCTAATATTTGGTTATGCCATTTCACAATTTTACTGAATGTTGATTCACCTGCTGTTGTTAATCTTGATATTTAATTTCTCATTCATTTCCCTGTAGTTATCATTAGTGAATTCACCCTCATTGTCACCTAAGAACTTTTTAGGTGCACCAAAATATGCTATCTACATTAGGTAAATACCTTGGACAATTTCATCTTGATATTCAGTTGAAATTAAGCTGCAGAATATTTTATGTAAAATTCAGGATTCGTTATGTGCATGATCCTTCAAGTCTATACATACTATTTGGTTAAATTTATCAGCCAAAGGCATATCAACAACAGGACGTAATGGTGGACATTTAAATTTTGTGCACACTTCACAATGGTCAAAACACTCTTGTATTATCTTTAGAAATTCCTCATCAAAAAAACCTTTACTTTTCTTAACAAGTTTGCACAACTTTTCTTTTGATGGATAGGAAAATTGTCAATGTAATTTCTCTGCCCTTTCTTTTATTTTTATGTTAACCAATTTAGTCAAATGTGTGTAACACCACAGAAATTTGTAAATTTGAATCACTTTGTCTCTGAAGTAACATGTTTATGAGAAGAATACAGTAGTAACCTGATGAAGTACAGATTAAATCCACATAAAACATCAGCTGTATCATTTGTAAAATTTAAAACAAAATTAGCCCTTTTCATAGAAACTCAACTTGAAAGAAGTGAAATATCATTATTTATTATATGCACTTTAATCATAACTTTTTTCTGCTGAGGAATAATGGAAATTTTAATTCTCCAAATTTTAATTTAGTGTCAGTCAGAAAATATTTAACAGGACTCCTTTCTTTATCCACTAAGGCATCAAGAAAGGCATTTAACCATGTTTTAACATGCACAATTTTCATAGAAACACTATCTACTATGCCCAGTCTAAGAGTCTCTTTAATTAACATTTACAACTGAAGCTCAGCATTTGTGTCATGTTAACTCCATGTGCTTTCTTATTATCTTCATGAAGGCAATAACAATCTTTTGC